GTGAGAAAAATAGGGGGAAAGAGAGTTATGTGAGAATGGGAAAGGTAGACGCAATTGCAACATTTCATCGAACAGCTTAAAGGCATACATTAATAATGCCACTTCAACAATGGCGCCTTGTTATTCTGAGTGTCAGATAGAAAAGAAATCAACCCACCTTGCCAGCATGTGTGCTGTGTGCGTGTGTTGTGTGTGATCTGAACAAAAACCAAATCGACAAAGTTGGGTCTGATCTGAAACTCATAAAAGATAATTATAAGAAATTTCATACATCTACTGTTATGCAATCAGTAATTGCATATTTAGGTCAACTACATTTTAATAAACATCAAAATCAAAATTGTAGCAAAACCACAAACAATTTGAACACTTGCAGCAAAATTATTTTTTGTTGTGGCATAGAATGCTTGGGGGGGGGGGCGCAAAAGGCTTTTTTTTTTTTTTGGGGGGGGGGGGGGGAAGGGTTGTGTGAGAGAGAAACAGAGGGGGGAGAACTTAGGGGTGGGTGTGCGAAAATAGAGGGGGAGTGAACTCTTCACCCATTGACTTCCACTCAAACTACTTCCTCGACAACTCTTTGTAACTCAACCCAGTTGAGTACAAAGCACAAAAATGGTTTAAAAAGTTGATCTCACAATTTCGTATAATCATGTTGTGCAGGTTTAAAAAGTTGATCTCACAATTTCACGAACGTATCAAGTGTACCACATATTCTACCGCTATATAAGACATAAGATGTGAGTGTAAAAAATAATAATAAGAACTTCGCCTAATTATTCACACCTAAAGTAACCGAAAGTGATGCAATTACCAATTCAATTCAGAAATGCAATTAACAATCCCAAAATTTGAATTGAATCTAAAATAACTACAAAGTTCGCACCAAAATTGAATTCAAATTACATCTAATCAAAACCAAGTTCACCTAAAGTAATTGTAAAATTCGAATTTTGTAATTACTTCATTATTACATTTTTCTAACCATCTTTATCAAAAGCTATCGACTTATGGAGTTATGAGATTTTTTTAAACTTTTCTAGAAACCATTTCTCCTTTTTTGTGTGTGTGGGTGTGGGTGGGCGGGGGTTGTGCAAAATCTGTAGAAACATTGAACAACATTAAACATTATCCATGAAGAATTGGTCTATTCAACCACAACCATTTCAAACATTCAAATTTGGAACAAAATATCCATTCAAAAACCCATGAAATACAACAAAAATTGTAAAAGAAACATAAAAACTAATTTTCTATGGAAAAAATGTACCTTATCGGAGCTAGATGAGAGAAAGAGAGTTGTGAGTGGATGGAAAACAAAATTCAAAAATTGTGGGTGGGACGGAAACAGAGGGTTTAGGATAAGGGGGTGTGTGTTCTGTGGATATTGTTTTTTTTTTCCCGGGGGGGTAACAGGGAGGGGTTCTACAAGAGTGTGTGTTGTGTGTTCTGACACCAAATTAACATAAAATCAACACTTCCACAAACATTCACTCTGTGCAATGCAAGTTTACCCAAAAAAAAAAAAAGAAATAAGCATGAAATCAAATGGCCAACATAAAAAGTCAAGCACAACAAAATAAAGAAGCACAACTTGAGTAGTAAGATAATGAGAGAGAACCCTTCTTGGTCTATGACAACACCAACTAACATAATTTCAAAATTTTAAAAGCACGGTGCAATGTACACCAACCAATTAATTTCCCAAAAAATTTAAATGACTAATTTCATTGAACACCAAGGTGGATATGCTGTTAGTACACACCATTACTTATCATGGTGGTTAATCTCATTTCTTATATTTCCACCTAATATGCCATTTATTTTGCAAGTTGGACAGACGTTTTTATTTTGCAAACGACTAGTTGTAAATGTCCGAATTAATTTTGATGCATTGACCCTTTTCCACTTCTCATGGTGCTGGGCAATGGAAATGTTTTGGGACTATAGATGTATATTAGGTACCCATATACTGCACTTTGTATAACTATTAGACTAAGGTGTCCCTATGCAAAACAAGTTTTTTTTTTTTTTATCGTGGTCAAAGCCATGTATGCAGTATACAAAAAGATCTACAAAAAAGATCTACCACGTATGCAGTATTCGGAATAATAAACTAAAAAATCAATCTTTATAGACAAAATAACAACAGGCAAAGAAAGGGGAAGTCCGAAACCCAAACACCAAAGTTGTAATACCTCAGTTCAGGGACTGTTATTAAAGAGCATCAAAATAAGCAAAGGTAACTGAACAAACATGTAAATACCAAAAATGTAAATAGGAACCTCTAACTTTAATCACATTACAAGAAACTAACAATTACGTACCAAGAAAACATGTAAATAGTGTCAACCTATAAAAATTAACAATTAAGTACCAAGAAAACATGTAATAATGTCAACCTAAAAAAGTGTTTCAATGGTTCCTATCCAAGCATTGAAAGTGTCTAAAAAATAATGTCAATCGATCATGTGTAATGACACACGTAAACTTCTCCAAACAACACGCCAAAAATAATGTCAAGTTAAAATGTACTGTCCAAAATCCAGCAATCAAACAAATATAAGAGCCATTGTTTAGTACAATGCCATGCTTGTGTTTTGCAAAGTGCATGCCCTCGTGTAGACTCATTAAATTCAAATTGCATAGTCATCACCTGACTGGTCAAGATCAAGGCTAAATTTTTTTCTTCGTCCGTCAAAGCTCCAAGGTTCTAATCAACGTTAGTCTAATGGGATCAAAGAAAATTTGCTAAAACTAAAGTAGTGGCCGACTCTGAAACAAAATATAAGTCTACACGAAGAAAATTCATAATAATACAAATAATAATAAAAAAAAAAACAACAAAATTTTTGTCGGACATTCCAACAAACACTTGGTGTCCAAAGTGTGTGGGTTTGTTTGTGTTGGGTGCTGGGTCTGTGTTGGGTGTGGGTGTATTGGGTTTGTTTGTGTGTGTTGCGCAGGGAAAACATCACATGAATATATGGAGGTGAACAAAGAAAAATCACATAGCCCATAAAAAAACTCAATAACAGGTATGTAATTGATTAAACCCAAATCAAGAACATCTAGCAATATTTGTTTTTAGGTATGTAACGTCACTCGGTGAGTAAGGTACCTTTTGCGTGAAGCAAATCGCCAAGGAACTAAGGAAGATCGACTTTGTCCTGCCTTCGATCGCCTGTTCGCAGTGGCTGATCGATCGCCTGGAGTCGCGTAACAGAGAGAGAGAAAGAGAGTGAGAGTGAGAGAGGTTAAAATTTGGAATGAGTGGGAGGGTAAAAAAAGAAGAAAAAAACAAGAGTTGTAGCCGGAGAGGCATGACTGTCTGACAGAAGGGAGGGGAAAAACATAAGAGATGGTGGGTGAGGTGACTGAATAATGATGAGAGGGCAGAATTTTAAAAAATATTGTGGATAAAAAATGATGAAATTGTGGATGATATGGGCCGTTGAATGAAATGAATTGTGACCGTCCGATCGGCTTGTTGAAGCCCGCTGTGTTTTATATTATAGAATCCTTTTTCAGAAATGTTACCTCTCTCACATCAAGTCATAAACATATCATTGAACTCGAAGCAACTCCATCAACCAATAACAAATGTGACATCAAGTTAAAAACACAAACCTAACACATATTATTGTGGATGATAACTACCAAGAATAAATCCATAAACAGAAAGAGAAACAAGCTCTGAATATATGTCAATGATATCATCTTGAATCAATTAAAAAAATACCGAAACCCAGGCATAATAATAGCAATCGTCAAATCAACAAAAATAAGCACCAATAATCCGACCTCTAAGCAAAAAAAAACCTCAACAGCAGACACAAATCCATAAGTACATATTGGATTCCCTTCAATAATTCAACCTAATAAACTAATGTTGCAGTTGGGAGAATAGAATTCATGCCTTAATATTGCAAACCCACATTATGCTAGTAATCAATAGAATGCTGCACAAAGAAACAGAAAAAGAAATTTGAATAAAAAAAGTTAGCACGAATCCGCAAAAAATCAGTCTCTGAAACAACCAAAGTAAATCGTGGGTGAATGGGTGCGTGGTGGGTCTCTTTTGGGTGTGTTGGGTGTGTGTGTGTGTGTGCGATTTGTGTGGGGGTGATGAGTGCGTAGAAGAGGGCAGGAAAGAGGCGGGGGTAGGATGGTGTGTGTGTGTGTGTGAGAGAGAGAGAGATGAGGCATACCTGGGAGGGGTTAGCAGCAGCGGTGCGGTGTTGCTGGTGGTGTCGCTGGGCGGTGGTGGTGTTGCTGACTTCGGCGATGGATGGTGGTAAGAAGAAACAGAGGGAGGGAGAGAGAGAGAGAGAGACGGTGGTGGTGTTGCTGGCTTCGGCTTTGACGGTGATGTTGCTGGTAAGAAGAAATAGAGATAAAGATACAGATAGAGAGTGATGGCCTGTGAAAGCGTCTGACAGAAGGGTTGGGGAAAAAAAAAAATAATGTCCAACCCATTTTTTCCGTTGTACCGAGAGAAGAAGTGACTGCTGGCAAATGAAGTGACTGAACGATCAGATTTTTGAATAAATTTGTAAGTTAAAAATGATGAATTTGGGAGGGAATGCAAAAAATTTATGACTGTTGGGTGAAATGAATTGTGACCGTCCGATCGACTTGTTGAAGCCCGTTGTGTTTTATATTATAGATTGCACAAAATAGTACCACCTAACTTTACATTCAATTGTCTTTATGCCATGCCTCAGTCTGTGTGTGTGTTGGGGGTTTTTGTTTGCTATTTTGGACTTGGATTTATGTTTCAAATTATACCACTCAATTTGTACCTTTGAATGGTATATTGATTTCGCATTTAAACATGTTTTCTTTTTTACTACCTGATTAAATTGTGTATTAGTGTGTATTTTTTTCAGTCATTCAAAAGGTTGTATAATTTCTTACTGTTTTCTTTATGCAGTGCATTAGATGTTTGCGTCAGACATCAGCATTTGCTTCACCTGGATGCAGCAGTTCACCTAGTCAGAATGACAGGGAGATATGGTGGATCAGCCGCTGGGCTTATGGCTGTCCAATGTGTGGTGGTACATGGGTCCGAGTTGTATAGAAGATTATCACTGTTTCAGCTACTAGGTGGGATCCCTGCTCTTATTATCAGCTAAAATTTTCTGCTTTATATACAGTCGAAAGCTATCTCCCCGCAAGTGAGAAGAGGTTAACATTTGTCTCATTTTCTTATTGTCAAAGGACTGCTTTTTTAGACTTTTCACACTCTTTCTCCAAACAAATCCAATAATGACCAGCCCAATCTGGTTCCATCCCCTCTTTTTGGTGTTCTGCCATTTGCCGTCATCTGTTACTGAGCTGAAATTTTGGACTGCTTTCTTTTGATTTTGTAATGTTGTGACTTAGGCTTAAATTGCGGTTCATTTTCTTGCAAGAATAGAAGCACATCCATAATTCACATGATTAGATCTCTTTATAGCATCATCAAGAGTTCTTTTCCTGCAATCTGTTTCAACACTATTTATATCAGTATGTAAGGATTAATATGATCAGTGAATTAAAGTCAACCGGTGGAAACTCTCCTCACCTTTATACTTTTGAGCTTCTTGTGTTTTTTTCTTTCTAAAAGGAAACAAAACTTTTGTGACCATTATTACTTCGTGTGGTGCCATCAAACTCGTCCTTTCTTGATGTTGCTTCCTACTTTTGCAATTGGTTACCCGTGATTGATATACCTTGTCGTAATTCTCTCTTTATTTTCTGCACTACAGGTTGCAAATCCGTGTGGCATAAACATATTCAGATTGATTGTAAATCCGTGATTGATATTCCTTCATGTGATTATCACGCAACACTGCTGCTGCTGAAGTCTGAGGATCTGTTCAGCTCAGCAGTTGCTGATTGGAGTTAGTATAGTTCAAGTAGTAGTGAAAAATTATGGTTTGGTATTCTGATTCCACAGACTCTTGTTGCTTGTCGCACAGAGACCGTTCAGGTTCGAAATCCTTGTACTTCATCACCCACAAATATGATCACGCCCTACTTGTTACAATATATATTGGCATTGAGCTTGCTCAACAAGATACGAGGCAAATATGGTTATTGGAGATCTGGCAGTGATAGAATTTTTTGAACTGATTAATCGACCGAGAATAAAGATAAGAGTCCTATTCTACATGTCAATACCATCAACAATGAAATTTATAGTAAGAGGAAAATCCGTCTATATGTGAAATGGGATTGTTTGCTGTTTTCCTTAATGTTAGCTTTGTGACTGTATTCCGGATGCCCCCATTGAACATGGGCTGCATATAGTTTTTATTTTTATTTTTATTTTTTTGCTAATTCTTGGGCACAAGAAGTAAATTAAATTGTTTGATGATAAATGTTGTATCAGGTATCCAATGTATTCCCTTTTATACATTGATTAGGAGTAACTCAGTGTTTGAAGGTACGGTGCAATGTTAATTGTTTTGAGATAAATGTTGGTGGCCGTTAGATGAGTCTATTTGTGACCGTCGGATGAATTTATTGAAGTCTGTTTGTATTATAGATTGAAAGTTGTAAGTGGTTGATAGCATTATCTAGGAGAGGTGAATTTCCAACTTCACCATTTGACTTTTAGCTTGGATGGATCAACACTTGTTATTTTCTTGATTTCGATCTCTAATTTTAACTGAGACTCAATTAAAACTAGGATCTCAATTTAAGGACTAGTGACAAATTTAACCTTTTTTTATTTTTTTGAAAAATATTTATGAAATAAGTTTAATACAGAGAGTAATGACACTCTACATTCTAAAAGATTCTCACTCTTAATTTATATTTTAAAAAATTAAAATTTTCTCAGTAAGAAAAAAATAACAATGTAATCAAAAAGTAAATATTTGTTAATTATTAGACATTTTTTTTTTGTATTTTTAATATTGTATTCTTTTCACACACAAATGTTAAATTTTAAGTATTTTTAAAACTAAATTGATACTCATTTTTTTAAAAATGCAGCACATTATTACCTTTTGTTTGATTGAAATATACAATATGAAATTGTTTAGTCTTTAAGATATAAATTAAAAATACGAAAATCTTTCTTTTTGGGGATAGAAAGTGTCATTTGTCATAAAAATTCATCTTGTAATAACCGTTGGAGAGGGTTAGCCTGATCTAAAAGTGTTAATTTGATTCGGATAGACTTCATTGAAGAACATCAAAGCCCATGGAATCAATAAGAAAATAAGTGCTAAATTTTAAATTAGTGAATAAATCAAACGTAAGAAATGAAGTTTCTTAGTCGGCGCCAAAAAATGCATCATAAATTATGATAAATAAATTTAGACCGTGTCAATTTGAATCTGGCAATTATTCACAATAAATTTAGCATAAATTATACTTATACCTCCTAAATTATCACATTTTTTACTTTGATCTCGCAACTACTAAATTTTTAAATTACAGTCAATTATGTCATTAATTTCACTTTACCCTACTTTTTAATATTCGCTATATATTTAATTAAAATTTATTTTATTTTACCCTAGACTATGTAATTTTTTTTATTTTATCCAAACGTGTCAGTGATTTTCATTAAAAAAAAAAAAAGAGAGAGAAAAATGAACCATCAGTTATGTGCTCATATACCTAAAAAATTTCAACATTTCCATTCTGATTTCTGTGAGAGAGAGAGAGAGAGAGGGAGATGAGCGGGAGTCAGGCAGCACACTCACTGGCCTTCAGGGTGATGAGATTATGCAGACCATCGTTTCACGTCGACACTCCTCTCAAATTCAACCCCTCCGATCTCCTCTTCGGCGAAGACCTCTTCAACGACGCCGTCGCAGCCTCTCACCTCCCTCGCCTCCTCAGAAACCCATCGTTTAACGCAACCAAGGCCGCCGATACCTCAGATCTCACCTACCGCACCAGACTCCTCCTCCATGATCCCTCCGACGCCATGGGCCTCCCTGGCCTCCTCGTTCTACCCCAAGCCTTCGGGTTCCACAAACTTTCTCTCTCCTCAATTTTATAAACATATGTTTTCGTGCATGTGACAAAGAAAAATGAAAAAATATTGATGAATTTTGTTTTATGATTGCACTTTTCAGGGCAATTTATTTAGGAGAGACGTTTTGCAGTTATATAAGTATCAACAACAGTTCGAATTTTGAAGTTAGGGATGTTGTAATTAAGGTGATTGCTTAGAAATGAAGTTCAGATTTTATTTAAGCTCTGGTTCAATATTTAATTTCTTAAAGTTGAGCTGCTTGAGAGACTATTATTTTGTTGAAAAACAACGAAGATTTTGGAAACAGAAACATGGGTCTTAGCTTGAGTGATGTGTAAGTCTTTGTGAGTTTTAGCATTGTTGAATCTTGTACTTTGAAATGAATTCCATCTCTAACGAATTCTAACACTTATATGTATGCAACTATTCAGCAAATTAGATATTATTAGTTTAGGTGTTACAGCATGCTGAAAAAAGGCACCTCACTCTATCTATGTATTCAAGAAAATGAAGAATCGAGAGGTCTGTTGTTAATCAGATGGAAATTGAGAAATGTGGATGGATTACAAATATTATAAAAGACTATGGCCAGCTTATAATTTCTGCATACTAAGGCAAAAATCGACTTGCCTCGCATTAAACATGAAGTAGTTTTTTTTTTTTAATCCTATAAGAATATTGCAAACTGCGCATAAATTTTAGTTTGAATTTAGATACGCTACATAAATGACACATTTCTTGCGTGTCTAATTGATCACAGGCAGAAATTCAAACGGAAAGACAGAGAATACTGCTATTAGATACAACAAAAGCTCCTGTTGAATCGATACGTGCGGGAGGGCGTTATGACTTCATCGTGGAACATGATGTCAAAGAACTCGGGGCGCACACGTGAGATTTTCTAAGCATCATGTTGAAGCATTTCTCTTTGTTACCACCTTTTAATGCTACTGGTGTGCTCTAATACAACCTTGTAATGTTGCTTCACCATCTTTAGGCTGGTCTGCACAGCTCTCTATAGCGATGGTGATGCCGAGCGCAAATATCTTCCTCAGTTTTTCAAATTTATTGTAGCCAATCCGCTTTCAGTTAGAACAAAGGTACCTCCTGCCATGTCCTAGACATCAGGGTATGCAATTTGTATGTCCAAAGGAATATTATTGATAAAAATGATATTTCTCAACTATATATTGCCAGGGGAAATAGTCGATGCCTTATTATTATTTTTATTATTTGTGTATTTTGATTCACATATTGGCCATTTCTTGTCTTCCTGTTCAAGCATAGTAATAACTCATTTCGTTTGTGCAGGTTCGCGTTGTCAAGGTAGGTTCCATTTGGTTAGAAGTTAAAACTTTTGAGTGTAAGTCCTTGCTTCGCGACAGATGTACATTCTGGTCAATTGAATATTAAGAACTAATGTAGAGAATTTACCTCTCAGTAATCCAGGAGTTTAACACTTCAAGTTTTGGGTTCGGGGGTTTCCAGATGGTGCATTAAAGTTTCTCAAGCATGCATTCAATGTTGGTGCAGCTAAACAAATGTCACTAGAACCCTGCTTCATCTTTCACCTACTTGACATGACACTTTTTTGTCTCTAAATCAAGCAATGCCAGACAAATTGAGAATGCAGGGGGATTCAACCAATGACAATTTCTAGCGTTTACTTTATTTGTAACCAACAACAGTTGATTGAATGCCTTGTCATAAGCATCAAATATGCAAAATTAGCTTAGGCCTTTTTTCTGTTGTGATTCATCCCTCATGTGACAGCTGAATCCCTGGTTATACAGGAAACCACTTTTTTGGAGGCTTGTATCGAAAATCATACAAAATCAAACCTTTATATGGACCAAGTTGAGTTTGAGCCTGCTCAGCATTGGAGCGCAACAATACTAAAAGCCGATGATTACCAGTTAGAGAATACTGTATTGACTAGGTGGTGTGACAAGTTTACTATGACTGTCTGCATATGTAACTTGTTTTTGTTAGTTATTAATTAATTAAACTGATTTGGGCGGACAGAGAAGCATTCAAGCCACCTGTTCTCATCAAATCTGGGGGAGGAATCCACAATTATCTGTATCAGTTGAAGTTGTCATCACAAGGTTCTGCGGAAATGAAAGTTGAGGGAAGCAATGTCCTTGGCAAATTCCAGATAACATGGCGCACAAATTTGGGTGAACCTGGGCGCTTGCAGACGCAGCAAATTCTTGGTAGTGTAAGTGAATCTCCGTGACTTCATATTTCATGCAGAAGAGTTATTTCTATCTAGTCTCGGCATATCTCAACACTTCTCTTCTGTGCAGCTTAAATATTAGGTAAATTTCTCTTCTATGTCATGTGTTGCATGGTGTACGCTTGTTTATAATGCCATGATTTTATAGACAAGCAATATGAGGAATTTCTAGTAATGATCCCTTGTAAGTTGTCAATGTTATGTTGCAGGGGTTACACATAAACAGAATGTCTTGCATTTCTCAAGGAAGCAGGAAATTTTTTGTATAATGAAAACTCCCCTTAATATTTATTTTCGTTTAAAAAACTGGAAGTGCATTTTAAATGTTATCCTTTTTTTCCTAAAATTTCTTGCGGACTTGCTTTCTCTCATGCACACACNATTTTCGTTTAAAAAACTGGAAGTGCATTTTAAATATGTTATCCTTTTTTTCCTAAAATTTCTTGCGGACTTGCTTTCTCTCATGCACACACACTGATGTAGATCGTATTAGGGAAAAATTAGGGATGAGAAGGGAAGAAGAAAGGGATGAGAAAAGAAGAAGAAAGAGATGAGAATTGAGAGAATTTTAGAAAGAAGATTCAATATCAATAATCAATAATCAAAGCCTACCAAAACAAATAACATATCTCCTATATATATATATATATATATAAGGAGACTACAAATCCTAAAAGAACTCTAAAAGAAATAAATAGTCATAATGACAACTAAACTTCTGAAAAGTATAATAACAAATAACTCATAATCCTTACGCCCACGCCTACTATAACGAAATATAATCCGATTCCTATCATTTTTCCCGACTGAAAAGAACTCGCCTTCGGAGAGATACGATCATGATAATGCTCTAGAAGATCAAGGTCAAACCGACCAAACTCCTCAGTAATCCATGAATCATCAGTCTCTGGACGATCTCTCCACCGAATAAGATAACGACGATATCCTCCATCCGAGGAGCTCACAATCTGATCATCAAGTACATCTGCGATCTGGTCATGCAGCTGTGGTGGAAACGGTGGAAGAATAGGAATTGTAGTTGATGCTGATGACGAAGCAAGTCCACCTATAGGAACATCTGCTGGAAACATAGGAGGCTCAAAAGTACCATGATAAGGAAACAAGTCCTCCACATTGAAAATAGGACTAATACTCATATTCGAAGGNTCTGCTGGAAACATAGGAGGCTCAAAAGTACCATGATAAGGAAACAAATCCTCCACATTGAAAATAGGACTAATACTCATATTCGAAGGTAAGTCAAGGTGATATGCATTAGGTCCAAGCTTACGAAGAATACGAAAAGGGCTAGTGGCTCGAGCAAGTAACTTTTTGAAAGAATTTTTAGGGTAACGTTTAAGACGCACACGAACCATGACATAGTCTCCCACAATAAGTTCTTTATTCCTACGATGAATATCTGCAGCCAATTTATAATTCTCATTACTTAATGTAATTTTCTGTCTTATGTTGGCATGCAAGTCATGAATATGTTGGGCAAAAGTTTCAGTTAAGTGTGAGGGGCGGGAATTAGGAGGTAAAGGTAATAAATCAATGAGCTATCTAGGGGAATGGCCATAAACAATCTCAAAAGGGGATAGACCAGTCGACCTGTTGACGGAGTTATTATAGGCAGATTTAGCAGTAGGCAACAAATCCCAATTTTCCATCTTCTCACCCACTAGACACCTAAGCAAATCTCCTAAGCTACGATTGACTACCTCAGTTTGACCATCAGCTTGGGGATGAAAGGCAGAGGAAAACTTAAGACTAGTTTCAAAGAATTTTCAAAGTGTCTTCCAAAAATAACTCACAAACTTGACATCCCTATCAGACACAATAGAAATAGGCAACCCATGTAGTCGGACGACCTCTCTAAAAAATAACTTTGCTACANGAAGAAAACTTAAGACTAGTTTCAAAGAATTTTCAAAGTGTCTTCCAAAAATAACTCACAAACTTGACATCCCTATCAGACACAATAGAAATAGGCAACCCATGTAGTCGGACGACCTCTCTAAAAAATAACTTTGCTACATGTGAGGCATCAGTAGACTTAGTGCAAAGAATGAAATGGGTCATCTTAGAAAACCTATCCACGACAACTAAAATGGAATTATGATTACGGGTTGTTTTAGGCAATCCTAAGACAAAGTCCATACTGAGGTCTCTCCATGGTGTGTGTGGAATTGGTAATGGTGCGTACAACCCTGTGTTTTGTTCCTAGCCTTTGCTAACTGACAAGTGCGACACTGTGACACTATCCTAATATTGTCACGCCTCAAAGTGAACCAATAAAACCTATCCTTAACANTGACCGATAAAACCTATCCTTAACAAGTACAAATGTCTTGTCCCTACCAAAGTGGCCTGACAAACTTCTCGCATGTAATTCCCAAATCAGGAAATCCCTAAGTGAAGTACGAAGAATACATAAGCGCGACCCTCTAAACAAGTAACCATCTTCAAGGAGGAAGTCAATGTACTCATGACGGTTACCAGACTGAACCTTCTGAAAAATGATACCAAAGTTAGGACAAGAGGCATACTCATCTCTAATCCTGTCAAAGCCAATCACATGGACACTCATAGTCTGTAAAACAGTAACTACACGGCTAAGAGCATCCGCAGGCTAGTTTTCAATGCCCACTCGGTGGTGAAGAACAAAAGTATACTTCTGAAGGAACTCAACCCACCTAACGTGCCTAACACTCAATTTTCTCTGGGAATGAAAGTATTTTAATGCTCGATGATCAAAATATAACACAAACTCAGATGACAATAAATAATACCTCCAATGGCGAAGAGCTTGTACCACAGCGTAGAACTCTTTGTCATATGTAGAGTATCGTTGTTTAGCTTCATTGAGTTTTTCGCTGANAGTATTTTAATGCTCAATGATCAAAATATAACACAAACTCAGATGACAATAAATAATACCTCCAATGGCGAAGAGCTTGTACCACAGCGTAGAACTCTTTGTCATATGTAGAGTATCGTTGTTTAGCTTCATTGAGTTTTTCGCTGAAGTAAGCAATAGGATGACCCTCTTGACTCAAAACTCCACCTATTCTTATACCAGATGCATCACAGGCAACCTCAAACACCTTAGAAAAATCTAGATGTCGAAGAACGGGTGCCTCTGTCATCCTGTGCTTAATTTCTTGAAAGGCTCTAGTTACAGCAAGTGTCCATTGAAACTCCCCTTTTTTCATGCACTCTGTGATGGGAGCCATAATGGAACTAAACCCTTTAATAAATCGTCTATAGAAGGTGGCCAAACCATGAAAACTTCGAACCTCAGAAATTGTTCTTGGCACTGGCCAATCCCTAATAGCACGAATTTTCTCTGGGTCAGCTGCAATACCATGCGCAGAAATAACAAATCCAAGGAAAAACACTTGAGTTTGCATAAAGGAGCACTTCTTAAGGTTTGTATAGAATTTTTTCACACGTAATGTCTGCAAAATCTGTCGAAGATGATCCAAATGCTCTTCTTTAGACTTACTATAGATCAAGATGTCATCAAAGTAAACAACCACAAATTTTCCTAGGAAAGGACGCAGTATCTGAGTCATAACCCTCATAAATGTGCTAGGTGCATTAGACAATCTAAAAGGCATGACCAACCACTCATAAAGTCCATCCTGGGTTTTAAATGCGGTTTTCCATTCATCTCCTGGTCTAATTCGGATTTGATGATAACCACTGCGCAAATCAATTTTGGAGAACCAAAGTGCACCGGCCAAAAGGTCAAGCATATCTTCAAGTCTCGGTATAGGAAATCGATACTTGACTGTAATTTTGTTAATGACACGGCTATCAACACACATTCTCCAAGAGCCATCTTTCTTAGGGGTCAACAAAGCAGGGACAACACATGGACTAGGACTATGATGAACAGACCCTTTTTGCAACAGTCCATCTACTTGCCTTTGGAGTTCAGCACGCTCAGTGGGATTCATACGATAATGGGGAAGATTAGGCAACTGAGATCCTAGAACTAAGTCAATAGCATGCTGAACATCTCTCATTGGTGGCAACTCATCGGGTAGTTCCTCAGGAATCACATCATGGAACTTTCTCAATAGACTATCAACCTCAGGCAAAAGATTATCTTTAGATTCCAGAGGACTTTGAACATCTTCTTTGACAACTAGAGCTACCATTATACCAGACTCTTTTCTCTCTTTCTCAAATTCTCTATGGGTCAAGATGTGAAGGTCTTTCTTGTGAATTACTGGGGAAGATGACCTATGCTTTGAAGTATTACTTTCTGAGGGTTTCGCAAGTTTTAACTTAATAGTTTTCCCCTTATGCTTAAAAACATAAGTATTTTTCCTCCCATAGTTTGTCACATCTGGATCAAAAAGTCACGGGCGACCCAACAAGACATGAGCGACATCCATAGGTAAGACATCACACCATAAATGATCTGAATAGTCACCCATCTGAATAGGGACCAAACATCTATGTAAGATTGGTAAGGAGGTCTTGTCAACCCATGCGACTTTGTAAGGTTGTGGGTGTGTCTCTGACTTAAGCTGCAACTGAGCTACAGCTGATTTAGAGATGACATTCAATGAATTTCTCCCATCAATGACGACCTTGCAAACTTGACCCCCACATCGGACTAGAATATGAAAAATGCTGGTGCGTTTCCATGCTGCTGTGTCTGAAGGGGTGGATAAGATACATCGTATCACACTGACATGGGTGTCATCGGTTTGCCACTCTTCCTCACCCTCATCTAGTAACTAAGGGTTCCTCATCCAAAGGATCAACTTCTAGGTCAACATCCTCTCTGTCAAGTGAATTTTCTAATCCCTGGTCAATGGTCAAGGTATGCTGAGGGCACTGTGAAGCAATATGACCCTTGCCATGACAACTGTGACACTCTGTGGAAGAACTGTCCTGGTGAGAAACTATGAGTGTAGAATCTCGACCCCTAGTGGTATTACCTCTCAAGTTGGGGTAATTGTTACCCCTGGATGTGACAG